ATATGCCAGGTATCTTACTCTTTACCTGATTAATCTGAAAAAAGATTTTATAACAGAATTTTTCTCAAACATAGTTTAAATTAATATCTATACAGTATGTGGCCCAGTTTCGGGTCATTTCAGGTTTGAACTGCTATATCTTCCTTTTCAGGAAAGGTACGATTTTTAAATGCTCACTTGAGAATAGGAAAGGTGTTTCTTAACAATATTTCAAAAGATTGACTTTTATTACCTTTCACTTTTAGAATTATTTATATTTTTAAGAATCATTTTAGGTGCCCAGTATCGGGTCAACTGCACCAGTATCGGGTCACTTCAAGTTTCTTTGTTTATTGTAGAAAAGCGTTTGTTTTACGGCAATTTTCGATCATTTTGTATAGTTTCAACATGTCTTAAGTTATTAACAATTTTTTTGTGAGGTTTTGACAAGGTTTAGACATGATATTTCCAGCTTGAAACTACCTCTTCTACAGTTTTTGCGGAGTGCGTTCTAAGCAGTGCTTCCACTTTCAGAGGTTGAAACATAGCTGACCCGAAACTGGGCCACAAAGCCAAACTAAAACGTAATATCTACCAGAATATATCTCTAAAATTCTGAATAATTGAATTGCCATTTCATATTTATATATTCTCGGCAATAATCTATCGTTAGGACAAAATTGAGCATGTTACATGGAGAATTACATATCAATAATACGATTTATTGTTATTAGTTAATTTTACTGCGCAGTGAAATGAACAAATTTTAGTAAAAGAATATAAACATGCCCGGACAAAAGGGATTCTTCTTTGAATACAGTTCAACTAAAAAGCCTGCGAAAACTATCATCCAAAAAAGGAAAGGTTCACCATTATATCTATATATTTCATTTCGCGTCGCTTTTTATCTCGGCGGAAAAAAATGAAATCAAATTTCTATTGACCCGCTACTGGTACTGACCCGAAACTGGGCCACATACTGTACTCAAAAATAGGTAAATAAAAATTTTGTTTTTTTTATAATAACATACTGTATTTTTGTTGTATTGTCAAAGCAAAATAGTTTTTTTACTGGTCAACGGAAGGTTTTATATTTAAGATTTTATATAGTTTGTATAGTTTATCTTTGACATTTTATAAAAAAGTTTAAATTTGAAAGTATTAATTGTAATTACATTCCTAATAAATCCGTATGTTATAAGTTGAATATGTATAGTCAATAGATTATAGTAAACAATCCTAGCTTCTTTGGCTTTTGCTATTAATAAAGTAATAAAATAATAAATAAGTTAGTAACATGAAATCAACAACATTAAATAGGGAACTTTAGAACTGATTCGCTACGGCTACGAAATCTGGTACGACTACAAGATTTTTCCGTTAAATATCTGCTACTACAGACTTTCTATCGTCCTTTCTTTTGCATACCCTTTCTTTATAGCAACAGTTGCGCCAAACCATGTACTATTATAATACAGTAACACCGCCTATATTTATAATAGAAACGACATGACAGTCGATACTAAAGTGACGAAAAAGTTTATATTTCTACTTCCAAAGCAAAAATATTTTGCACTGGCACTTCAGGTAAAGCGAAAAGTACAATGTGTGTATAATTTTGCACAAATAAACTGTAAACAAATCATCAAACTACCAAACTAACTCACTGCAAGCTCTTTATTATAATACTATTTATACTAATTGTTGCCAATGTTTGTCTGAGTCTTGGCGGGGGGTCAAATTTTCGTGACGTCAATTGCGGACAACGCTATTGTTTTATCCTTGTCCAGGACAAAGAAATTTATCTTCTTGACGATCCGTTGGCCGCCGTCGATACTCACGTGGCCTCCCACATCTTCACGCACTGCATGATGGGCATTCTTCAACACAAGACCAGAATCCTTTGCACGCATCATTTGAAATATCTCCATGATGCTGACGTGATTGTTGTCATGGAGCACGGGAGGGTCGCCCGTATTGGTCCGCCTCATCAAGTATTGAAAGAAGAGACTTTGATAAGAAAAATGTCTGCCAGTGGTAGGTGGAGTGATTATAATTGTTTCAAAAGCCAATCCTTCTTAACGAAGATTAACAATAGATAAACTGCTTCATCAAGCACGAAATAAGTCACAGTGCACGATTCCGCAAAACTACATTATTTTTCTAGTGATAGACATTATATAGACATAGTAGAATTGTAAATGAAAGGTTGTTCAAGCAGCAATATTATAGAAGTTCAGATTTGACTTAAAACTATTATCCAATCAGATGCGTTTCATATGTCCAATTAACCAATCAGATGCATTTGCTATATCAGATTAACCAATCAGATGCGTACTTAGCCAGTTAGAGGTTGTGGTAGTGGAAGTCAGATATGAACTTCTACATTTGAACAACCTTTTGTTTGCAATTCTACTAGGCCTATGGCTATAAGGATGTGTGCCACTGTTTTGGCTATAAGGTATGCCTGTTTTGGCGCGCCTTATATAGCTACTGTTTGTGGCCACTGGGCACGCCTGTTGAACTTCGAAACTGTTTCGGCATATATAAGATCCATTCAACTTATTTCAATGCATCAAAATCATCCTGCCATCTCGTGCTGGCAAACCTCGATCATGTCAACAGCTCCTTCAAATCACTAAAATTTTCCCTACAATTACCAGACGACGAGAAAGGTGATGGTGATGCCAATGAAGAAGAGAACGTTGAAGGAAATGATCCAGGTTTAGTTGAAGAAGAAGAAAAAGATGTTGGTGTTGTGAAATATGATGTTTATCGTTCATACTGGCGCGCAGCCGGCGTCTGTCTTACATTCAGTATTTTCTTATCTTTGTTTCTTATGCAAGGTGAGGAGTAAGGCTGGCGTGGCACAGCTGTTAGGACATTTCATATAGGCAATTCCACCTCAGTCACATGTGAGAACAGTGTTTCCAGTTTGATTCTACCAAACACCACAAGTTTTCTCCTTTAAGCTACTAATAAGATCCTTACTGGACCTCTCGGGAGAACAGTTTGGAACTGATAGGATTATCCAGTATAAATAAAGTTAGTTTAGTTTAGGTTTCCTCTTGTAGTAACACTGGATCAATAAGAGATGATCCTTACTGGACCTCTAGGAAGAACAGTTTAGAACTCATATAGTTTAGGATTCTTCCTGTAGTAACGTTTCCATGATTTTTCTATCTCTTACTAGCATCTCGTAACATCAGTGACTGGTGGCTAGCTTACTGGATCTCTCACGATAAACATTCACCATCAACCAATCACACGTCCTCATCTGATCGCGTGTTCTTGTTCTCGTCATCTCATGGCACTAGTTCTGTCGAACCTGACGATCTCCACGCGATGCACGTTTATGTTAAGAAAGGAAGTCTGACTTTTTATTTGGTTGTTTATGGCGGAATAGCTTTTGCAAACACGGTGAGATGACCAATGTTTCAATATACAGTTTCAGTACAGTAGTATTGGTCGTTTGTAGTAGTTGTTGTAACAAGTTTGGAACAAGCTGTTAACAACTTGTAACAAGCTTGATGGCAATATCAGACTCGTCACAAGGTTGTTCTAACAAGTCTGATGCACTCATGATATAACAACCTTGGAACAACCTTGCAAC